AGTATTCCATTGTGTAGATGTACCACAGTTTTTTAATCCACTCATCTACTGATGGGCACTTAGGCTGTTTCCAAATCTTAGCTATGGTGAATTGTGCTGCTATGAACACAGGGGTGCATATATCATTTCTAATTGGTGTTTCTTCCATTGATTTTTAGGAGAGTAGAAGAGAGAGGGAAAGGCAGAAACATCAAGGTGAGAGAAACACATCGATCGGTTGCCACCTGCACGAGCCCCGACCAGGGCCCGGGCCAGGAAGGAGCCTGCAACCAAGGTACGTGCCCTTGACCAGAACTGAACCCAGGACCCTTTGGTCCCCAGGCCGATGCTCTATCCACTGAGCCAAACCGGCTAGGGCTCTCAGCCACTTGTAAAGGGCAGTGTGAACGTGTCTTCTAGGAATTGTGTCCACCTGCAGGGAAGTCTACAAGAAGAGTCGTTGGTACCGTCCTTGTTACCCAAGAGGAACGGTCAGTGCACAGAGAGGCATAATGGTTTGCACAAGCCCCCGAGCGAACCAGAGGTGAAACGGGACCTTGTCCAAATTTGGTCCAGCCTGCTATTCATCCCACTTCTGCAACAGAGTAGTAGCATCCATTCATACGGCGCTACGTCGTGGTTAATACCCAGCCTGAACAAGCTGTGTGACTGAAGCCACCACAGCGCCCTCTTCAGCCACGAAGCTGGTGACTGGACACTGGGCCTGGGTCTGGCTACTGGACGGCTCAAACAGTCTCCTCACCCTTCTTCTCCTCACCTCACCTTGCAAATCTAGCTGCAAGGCGGTCTAGGAAAGCACATGTTCAGCTTCCTAACCTCCTGCACAGAAGGGAAGGTGGAATGAAGGTCGATAGAGCCATCCATGGTTATCTACCATAAGCACCAAAGACGGACAAGTTGTTTGAGAAAGTCAAAACAAAGAATTTTTTAAAATATGGGCGTGTATGTGACAATCAGCATCCCCTCCCATGATTAAGATACTTCCCATTTGCTTGTGTTCTATACTCCCAACTGGACTGTAAGTCTCTAGAAGGTAAGGACTAGATCCTGTAAGTCTTAGCACCTTGCATCGCATTACAGCTGCATACAGACTTGTTGCTTTCTTTTTAACATGCCCAGAGAAATGTGTACTGATCTTGGAGCCAGTATGCAAGATACATGAAAGAAGAGAATTATGTCAAAGCCTGTTTTAGCAGCTGGTAGTTTGCTGATAGTACAAAGCTTAGAGCCACAGGTTAAAGACTCTGATTAATGAAAACTCGATTTTCAAAGACCGGAAGGGCACCAAGAGAATTAGCGTGGAAGATGCAGCCTTCTGAACTCGCTGGATGCTTCCAGATTCTCGGAGGACGAGTTACTTGGCTTGTTCAGAGACGAGGGCTCATTTCTCATGAGGCCAGGTCAAGTTTGAAAGAAAAGGCAAACGGCAATAAAGAATACTCTGGAATCATAGCAAGGGAGAAAGTGTCTTGACGGCTCTCTGCTTCCTTCCTCTCCCCAAGAATAAATTATGACCAAATGGCCTGCCTCGGTCAGGAGGGAGGGGACTGGAGATCTATTTACTTTAGATCTTTCTGAAGCGTTTGCTTTGGGAGTCTAAACTATTTATTATGCTTTTGCTCCAGGCTTCATTTTATTAGAAGTGCTCATAGTAATTGCAAGCTTTTAAATTCATGGTGGGAAGACAGTAAGAGCGGAGAAGAAGTAAAAATCGGTTTCTTCTGTAAAATGAATTGCTAGCGTTCACCTTGTGAACCCAGGAGCCCCTAACTCACAGGTTACCTCCCTGCCTGTTATCCAACCCCACTGTGCAGGAAGGGGGCCCAGAGAGGAAGCCTGGGTTTGGGATTGATGGGGGAGAAATGATGGAGAGAGAGGTGTAAGGCAAGAGGGAGGACCGTATCCCTTGGGAGGCAGGTCGGGAGGCACATCCCAGCACCTTTCCCCATTCCCCCTTTT